CCTTCCTTCCTTCCTTCCTTCCTTCCTTCCTTCCTTCCTTCCTTCCTTCCTTCCTTCCTTCCTTCCTACCTACCTACCAACCAACCTACAGAGAAAGGGAGAATGTAGGACATCTAAAATGTTAAACTGCTTTTATTTATTAGATTTTTTTTAATCCTACCTTTATCACTTTATAAGTAACTCAGGGCAGCAAACATACCTAATATCCCTTCTTTCTCCTATTTGCTCCACAACAATAACTCGGTGACCAAGAGGGGGCTGAGAGAGAATGACTGGCCCAGAATCAGCCAGCTGTCTTTCATGCATAAGGCAGGACTAGGATTCATGGTCTCCTGGTTTCTAGTCTGGTGCCTAAACACTAGGCCAAACTGGCATTGTTTAGCTACATAAGTTCTTCCTGACACTTGCCCTGAGAACCAAAAATGCAAAGCAGTGAAAAAGAAAAGTGAATTGAAAATGATCTGTTTTCATTGGTCTACCAACTGGTGGGCTTACTTTCCGCATATAAACCTAGCAGTCCAGCCAAGGCTTTATCCACCCCACATCCCACCCTACCCTTACTCCTGTTCTCTGGATTCTCCCTTCTAACCAGTTCATGAGTAGGGCTCCCTGTCCTGAAGACTGACTTCTCACAATTGCAGAAACTTTCTCCTACACACAGAAAGGCACCTATAGAAAAACAACTTTTTAACCGCTTCCTATTCAGAATACATGAAAGACGACAGAAGCTCTGTGACACGCTTTTGCAGCATGCTCCATCCCAGGTACAAATGGGTCTTGAATAATTGTGGTGTCTAACTGCAGCATTCTGCCAGGTGTTCTCTTCCCCTTCAGAGATTATTATCTTCTGAAGAGGATTGCAAAGGCCAAATAACAGACTCCATTCTGCTCAAGCTATTTTCACTCTCTTCCTTATCACTTAAGGGAAGAACACAGGAAGGAGTCCTGTGGCACAGTACTATACCAACTAGAAGAAGAGATTAAAAAAATATGTTTCTCTGGCTTCTTAGGAGTTAATAGGCTGTTGGTTTTCCTGTCCTTTGTTCAATTCTAAAAATGTCCCCTGTTAGAACTGGTTGCCAAGCCTGGAACTATTTTATTATTGCTGAAACTGGCAATGTGCTAAGGAGCAGATGTACCATTGCTTTGCCATTCATACCGTTTGAGTTCATATGCGTGCATGCGCACACAAAAGCACACAAACATAGAGTATCCCTCCCCCCACATTATGTTCTGTTTACGTGGCCAAGTAATCAAATAAGCATTTCAGCTTGTGGCAAACCTGAATTGCTTCCTTTCCTGACTTTATGCAATCAGGATCTCTGTGAATTCTATCTGTGAGCATCACATGAAAATCTATCATTTGCCAAAGAAGTAGATTTTCCAATTAGCAGCAAACTGACTATAATTATAGTTTCTACAGATGAGAAACTGGATTATTAATCTGTTGTTGGCCTGACAAACCAATAAAGAGACCTTAATCATCTAACACTTTTTGGAGAAAAGTACAAAACCACCACCAACAAAGGCGTATAAATGAACACAATTTTGTTGCTGGTCGATTGGTAGTGAAGTAGTGAGATAGAAACAAGCAACTACTTTCCTTATTAGCAAAACGTAGGAACCTTTGCAAAGATAAAAGGGTGCTTATCAATTTTTTTTTCTATTCTTCAGCTCTTGGCAAGCAGATTGAAAACCCTGTAGCTGTGAATGACAAGATGGAAAAATGACACAGATGGATAATGTGTATCACTAAGTAAACAATGGAGTTAGGATATGCCTAAACCACTGAGTAAAATTTGGGGTCTCTTCCTGGTTGAGAAAAAGTACAAATGGCACTTTTCAGTGGAAATAAGAAGTAATTTGTTCCTAAAAACCACTGATCCTGGATATCTATATTTGCTGTTGTCCCAATCATTTCCTGTAGTTTAGCTACTTTTTTAAAATGTGGAATTAGCCCAGAGACTAAAAGAGAACAAACATTTTTTTTAATTTCCTAACCTGCATAGCCACTCTTTAGTTGCAATCTAACAAAAGGCTTATTCTGGGTTTACACCTCTTTTTTTTGATATACACATATTACATTTTATTACAAATTAACCAAACTTAGGTTTGCACAATATACTAAGTCACGCAAAAGTGGAAAAAAAATAAGGTGTAAGCAAAGTTAATAGGGCAGGGCAGAACCCATAGGAAGGGTGGTGAGTTCAAATCTTCTTTTTAAAAAGGCCTCTGCCTTCTATTCCTTGGAACAGAGGACGCGTTATCCTTATTACTACTAGCTAACTTCAACCACATAACTACTACTTCTAACCTCCTCCTTCTGCAATTCTGGCATACGAGGGGGTCACCCACATCCTGTGAGTTTTTTTTCAATTACTAAGTCAAATTCTAAGAAAACAAAATGTTATAGGACCATTTTCCAGAGATATGGCATTGAGACAAGAGACTATAAGTACCAGCTCTTTCTCCCATGGAGATAAATGTTAATTAAAGAAAATAATTTTTGTAATTCAAATGTATAACCCTCATTTCCTTTTAAATATCAAAATGCAAATAATCATGGTTAAGGAAAAAAATAGCCCCCTGAGCTGCCCAATATATAATTAGCACCTTGTTTTTATTAAAATATAAAATCAATCATAACACTCTACTCAGAACACAAATTGTTAATTTTACTGCTTTGCGTGGATTTTACAAGCTTCAGCTCCTCATGGAAAAACAGTGAGATAAAGTCCCCAAAACTCCAAAGCATAATCCAATCACCATGGCTAGGATATGCTATTTTACAACTTATACAAAGAGATAAATATAATAAACAATTAAAAATTAATACAAAGCCCCCCAAATTCAAAAGACCTTATTGCAGGCATCTGACAAAATATTTCTATTATTAAAATATTAAAAATATTTCTATTTCTATTATTCCTAGTGAAATAACCTGAATTCTTGAAATGGATGTTCTCACTTATTTCCTTTTACTTAGAATTCAATCCTTCTCCATGTTAGCAAATTTTAAAGTGAGCCTGATTAAAAACAGCACACTTAGAGGGGGATTCTTTGTTAATAAAGTTGTAAAAGCAAAGAATGGTTGTATAAATGCCAGTGTGCTTGTGAGATCGTAGGTATGAGAGTTGGTGGGTCTGCATTGCTTTTGTTTTAACTCAGAATCTTTCTAAAGCAAATCTAGGTGTGTTAGGTAGAGAAGCAAATGTCACTGTTTTTACCTAATATATCAACTAAAGAATTGGTGGAATTTTTGCATTTTCATTTTATCTTTCACAACAGCCTTTGTACTTAACTTGTCTTTCATGCCTTGTGTCACTAGCTTCTACCACATCCTGTTTGGTTCTTGGAATTTTTTTTTCTATTTCTTAGCATGGGCTGAGCTCTACTGAGAGCTTCTTTATTC